CAGCCATCAGATTTACCATGGAAGTCGAAATAGATGGCAAGATACCTTTTTTGGATGTCCTAATTAAAAAGAGACCTGATGGTTCAATGAGCCACTCTGTCTACAGGAAAGCTACCCATACGGATGCTTATCTGAAACCGGATTCCCACCACCATCCATCACAGAAGAATTCTCTCATCAAGACTCTGTATCATAGAGCCCAATGCATATCCGACCAGGAACACATAAGCAGTGAACTCAAGCACGTACACCAAGCTCTTAGGGCTAATGGTTACTCCGACTATACAATCCGCAAAGCTATCACTCAAACCATGAAGAAGAACCCTCTTGAGGAGCCTTTCAAAACCATCACTTTACCCTACATTGCTGGGATCACAAAAAAGATCTCCAAAATCTTGAATAAACACAAGATCCAGGTCCGTTTCAACACATTACATAAAATCCGTGATCTGGTTCCGTCTGTAAAAGATGTGATTCCGGACATACAATACCCTGGTGTCTACAAACTAAGTTGCCTCTGTGGTAGTAGTTACATTGGAGAAACCAAACGCCATATCTCGGACCGCATTCGTGAACATAAAGCAGACCTTAAACACGGTAGGACCAACACCTCGGCCGTAGCAGATCATTGTTCTAATTCAGTAGGCTCACATGCCATTGACTTTTCCAAGACGGAGGTTCTTTGTAAGCCATCTGGCTTCCATGAGAGATTCGTTCATGAGGCTATCCACATATACAAACACAGAGACAATTTCAACCGAGAAGATGGATTCTATCTTAGCAATCATTGGAAAGATTTGATAAATCATTTCAGTTCTTGATTGATTGTTCACGCTTACAGTGCCTTTCAGACAGCATACATAAAAACAAATTTCGTCTCCCCCCTCCTCTTTTCAAAAAAATAGATGGACTAGTCCTGGCAAACTGCCATCGTTGCGCGTGACGCAAACGTTATTTTTATATATATAAATAAATATGCCGTTTTCAAAATAAATTTATGCAAACCGACACACCTGATGATGACCGTTTGAGTTATGGTCGAAACGTCGTGAGAATTTTTTATTGTTTTATATATATTTTGTTATTTTGTTGTTTCTCTTCAACGTGACTTTACCGAAAAAACTAAGAATATGAATTACTGCAGTCACGAAAGCTTTAAATCAAAATTTAATCGCCTCTACGGGGAGGGTTTTCACATAACTTTAAGATCTTTCAACAAACTCCGGGATAAGAAAGCTCAGCTGATCGAGTCTCTCACCTTCCTGAAGAGATGCCGTGACTCTGGGGTAATACCAATCGCATTTACACTCACCTCTGCTACTGTAACTTCTTCTAATGCGAAACGAATTCTTTTCAAAACTAGCTTAGCTCTTATCTCAGAAAAAAATCAGACTTATACGCACAGAACTAGATCAGTTAGACAAGACACTCTACAAATCACACTTATCATTGACGGCAATAATGTCCACATCGGATTGGGAACATGTAGACAATATGACTGCCTCTTCAGCTGCTACTATGTCGACCAAATGTAAGGAAAACCTGATTTCCAAATTTAACCTCCTCTTAAACAAAAGACCGGACCCACACACCAAAAAGTTAGACGTTAATAAAGTCGTAATTAATCGCAGTAACAGTTCTATTTCCGATGGTCTGAAATCCGTTTTAGCTAAAGGTCTAAACTTTGCAGTCACACCTAAACACATACCAGTTAATGATATAATTGCCCAAGTAGACGTTGCTCTCAGGGGCCTGGGTCACATCGCTGCAGACGTAGCAAGATCTGAAATCGCTGCAACCCTCAAAAACGCTAAGATGCCAGCTAGCAACCTCAGCAAAGATGAGCGTTTTGAATTATATAAATTAAAAAAGAGGAATGATATTGTAGTTCTCTCAGCTGACAAAGGCAATGCTACTGTTATCATGGATAAAATAGAATACAACAACAAAATTAAAGAATTACTCGACGATGGTAGTTATACAAAAATAAAAAGAGATCCCACCAACAGCCTCGTCACACAAACCAACAAAATAATTTCTGATTCAACCGCATTAATTGATCAATCTAAACAGTTTTCGTTGAAACCTTCTGCTGCCAGGCCACCAAGATTATACGGCTTACCAAAAATACATAAAGTTGATACACCTCTTCGTCCCATAGTCTCTACTATCAGCTCCCCCACCTACAAACTAGCTCGTTTTTTGTCTGAAATCCTGCGTCCTTTCACTGGAAAGACCACCTCTGCGGTACAAAATTCTACTCACCTGGTATCAACAATCAAGGGTATTTCCCTGTCCCCAGACGACCTGCTTGTCAGTTTTGATGTAGTTTCCTTATTCACCAAGGTTCCTGTACCTGACACCATTGCAATCATTGAAGACTTGGTTCATCAAGGACTAAACACTGAGGTACCCCCCCTGGTGAGACACTGTTTAACCAATACATACTTCACTTGGAATGGAACTTTCTACAAACAAACTGAGGGCACCCCAATGGGCTCCCCCCTTTCTCCAGTTATAGCTAACATTTTCATGGAGAAATTTGAGACTGACGCCATCCAGACTGCCACTCTGCGCCCAACCTTATGGAAGAGGTACGTGGATGACACTTTTGTCATCTGGCCACATGGCCGGCCTGCTCTAGACCAATTCTTCGACCACATCAATTCCATACACCCAGCCATCAGATTTACCATGGAAGTCGAAATAGATGGCAAGATACCTTTTTTGGATGTCCTAATTAAAAAGAGACCTGATGGTTCAATGAGCCACTCTGTCTACAGGAAAGCTACCCATACGGATGCTTATCTGAAACCGGATTCCCACCACCATCCATCACAGAAGAATTCTCTCATCAAGACTCTGTATCATAGAGCCCAATGCATATCCGACCAGGAACACATAAGCAGTGAACTCAAGCACGTACACCAAGCTCTTAGGGCTAATGGTTACTCCGACTATACAATCCGCAAAGCTATCACTCAAACCATGAAGAAGAACCCTCTTGAGGAGCCTTTCAAAACCATCACTTTACCCTACATTGCTGGGATCACAAAAAAGATCTCCAAAATCTTGAATAAACACAAGATCCAGGTCCGTTTCAACACATTACATAAAATCCGTGATCTGGTTCCGTCTGTAAAAGATGTGATTCCGGACATACAATACCCTGGTGTCTACAAACTAAGTTGCCTCTGTGGTAGTAGTTACATTGGAGAAACCAAACGCCATATCTCGGACCGCATTCGTGAACATAAAGCAGACCTTAAACACGGTAGGACCAACACCTCGGCCGTAGCAGATCATTGTTCTAATTCAGTAGGCTCACATGCCATTGACTTTTCCAAGACGGAGGTTCTTTGTAAGCCATCTGGCTTCCATGAGAGATTCGTTCATGAGGCTATCCACATATACAAACACAGAGACAATTTCAACCGAGAAGATGGATTCTATCTTAGCAATCATTGGAAAGATTTGATAAATCATTTCAGTTCTTGATTGATTGTTCACGCTTACAGTGCCTTTCAGACAGCATACATAAAAACAAATTTCGTCTCCCCCCTCCTCTTTTCAAAAAAAATAGATGGACTAGTCCTGGCAAACTGCCATCGTTGCGCGTGACGCAAACGTTATTTTTATATATATAAATAAATATGCCGTTTTCAAAATAAATTTATGCAAACCGACACACCTGATGATGACCGTTTGAGTTATGGTCGAAACGTCGTGAGAATTTTTTATTGTTTTATATATATTTTGTTATTTTGTTGTTTCTCTTCAACGTGACTTTACCGAAAAAACTAAGAATAAGGAACTTCTTCTTGAAGAAGCAACTGCTTCTTCAAGAAGAATTAACTTATTCATCGAGAAAAAGGGCTCGTAAAGGAACTGTGTGCGAGTTAAACTGCTTTGTGGGGGATTTTTTTTCTCTCTCTCAATTATTCTACAGTTGTGCCCTCAAAAGTTAAGTCATTAGACGAAGACATTTCCGTATGCACCTCTCACGGTGAGCAATAAAACATCACCTGGTTTCAGAGAGCGGTAAAGCACAGGGTAGCACCGTGACGCGTCCCTTTAGTCAGCCGATTGTCCACGTTGGGTAGCACGCACGTTTTATTCGCCCTGTAAAGACCGTTTGTAAAATCCAAAGCTTTAACTTTCAACATCAAATTAAATGACAAACGGAATACAATACAATGGGTTTTTTTTAGCACTCATTTAGGACTTGGATGAGACCAACAACAACAACTGTCAACTTAAGAACACATTTTTTTTAATCATGCATGGCTGAAACCTAGATTTGAACCTGGGATCTCAGCGACGCTGGCTGAGTGCTGTGATGCTTTATTAGACCCCTCCTCTCATCTGGCCTCCTTCTGTGCACTTTTCCGCAAATCTGTTAATTCCCCACAGTCAACGTTCCACGTTGTTATGTGGCACATGGGGTTGTTGGTATGGTAATGCTGCACTTCGAAAATAAATTATGAAAATGAAATGTAAAGTTTACATTATGAGACCTCCTTTGCCAGTAACAAGATATAGTAATAGGTTTTACCCTTTTAACTGGCACAAAAACTGACACCTTTATTCAAGGCATCATGTTTGCAATAACCACAACACAAGCAGTCAAAATGCAAACAAAAGAGACAACTCTGATAATAATATGCACTGTCCTTGAATTTGATTGGTCCACACCCGAGACTAGGCTCTAAGAAAAGCTGTCTCGGGTGTGGACCAATCAAATTCAAGGACAGTGCATATTATTATCAGAGTTGTCTCTTTTGTTTGCATTTTGACTGCTTGTGTTGTGGTTATTGCAAACATGATGCCTTGAATAAAGGTGTCAGTTTTTGTGCCAGTTAAAAGGGTAAAACCTATTACTAGAAATGTAAAGTGTTTATAATTCACGGTGCTAGTGACAGTGTGCAACATAATTGTGATTGGAGAATATAGGCTTTGTCAGAGTATGGCTTCAATTTAAAATCTGTATTTTTTTACAGATGTTTTGACACATGGAAGCAGAGGTGTCTACAACAGAAGCTGAAAAATGGCACTCAATAACTAGTTTCACTTAATTAATAATTATGCCAACATTTAACAACTTGCAACTTTAACTACTACGTCGAAATTAGGCTACAGGCATTTAGCAGTAAAGCGATTTTAAATCGAATGAAAGATGGCGCCAATTCCCTGGGTCTGGTGTCACTTGGTTCTTCTCGCGCTGCTCTTCACGACAGCAGAAGGCAACATCCACCGGGCGAACGCGAGACGCCTCTCCCGCAGAGAGCCCTCGGCCGCCAGCTCCCCCCACTCCCTCCCTCCTCCCGACAGCTCTGACGCATCGCTCCCCTCCGCTAGCCAAGTTTTCCAGCCCTCCTCAAGCCTCTCGCCCGGCTCGGTTAAGGCGCCCGGCTCGGTTAAGGCGCCCGTCCGAACGTCGTCCGACGGAAATTCCGGAGGCCACAAAGACTCTGGCTGCTCCCCTCCGAGCCACGATGCCGCCCGCCAAGCTCGCGGACGTGACGATTCCAGTCAGGCGCACCGCAAGCGGGGTTTCTCGGGCGCTGCTCCCGGACACCAGGGGGGCCGCGACGAGATGGGATCTAGGCCGGACGCGGTTCCCGTCGGCGGTGATGGCGATGGCAACGACGATGGCGAGCCACCGTCCCCCGCTTCGTGGCTGAGTCTGGACTGGGATGGGCGGCTCGGAGCGTGGGTGCTCGGGCTGGGCGGGGCCTGCCTCGTGGGCCTCAGCGGAGTGCTGCCTATCCTGCTCATCCCCGAGAACACCGGTGCCCACCTGCAATCTCCTGGTGAGCCACGGAGTAGTCAAGAATAATTTTTGTGAAAAAAATACATTGACACGTTATATATATAAATTTTTTTTATTTAGAATGCGTAACAGCCGGTGTCACGATTTAATTGTACAGCCGTTTGGGTCAATCTGCTGTTGCGAGTAGTCAGTGCGGGTTGGTGAAAGCAAAGGAAGCCAAGAACTGTTTTAAATGTCACTCTCCACTCACATTAGCAATGCTCTGGAATCAAACTCCGTTTCCAGACTCATAGCGTGGTGCACAAAGCACTGTGCCACTTCCTGTCACTTATTAATATATCGTTAAACAATAGGGTAGTAAGTATCTTCCCGGGTGATGCGGTGGTGAAAACAGCCCACCGTCGAAAGCTTGCTCGTTCAAATCCTGGTTTGAGTTCAACGTGGCCCATTATTTTTCCAAGTCAATAGAATGAGCACTAACTTATAGGCAGTAAACTCTGGTTCTCCTGTAGGTAGAGTGGCCTCTGCTATGGGAATGTGGAATTTCCACCACCTGTTCATGGGTACCAGTGGAGACCGTCCTTCAGAACATTGCTCGTTTGACCGAAGAGACACTTCAACCCCATGTCTATGAACTACACAACTTGAACCACATTCTCACAACTTGTGAGAATGTGGTTCAAGTTGCTAATACGAGAATGGGTTTGGCAAAAGTTTTGCTGAAACACTTTGGCAGCATTACCACCACCACCACCACAGTTCACACATTGTGCTAGTCGCCTCAGCCCAGATTCACACATCCACATTGCTGGGCCAAGCCAGATACACCTGGGCCTTGTAGTGGGCCCAGTGTCTTGCTTTACTAAGAGAGCCACGTGATTTTAGCCAGGCTACCCCCATAAACCCTCGCGACATTTCGGATTCAGAGAACGGACGTGTGTGGTCTCTGGCGTCTTTCCCTTAGGTAAAATTACGGGTTGTGTTTTTGTTTCAGTAATGAGCATATAAAACATGCGAAAGATTTGAAAAATATGGAAAAACCATATAGAAAATGAAATATGATCTATTTTATTCAGTGACAGAAAGAAGAAATGGGTCGGGGGGGATGGAGGGGAAGGGTTGAGTCCACAGAGGTGTGCTTCTCTTGAAGCATTCGTACAATAAATGAGCTTTGCCGGACTGTTCCTGGAATAGACTGGCACAGCTTCTTTGGTTCTTTCGGTAAAGTCACGTAGAATGAGAATAAAATAATAAATTGATAAAATAAAATAACATAACACAATAATGGTCATGGAAACATGGCATCATTTGTTTACTCTCTGGAACACTTGGACCATTGGTTGAGGTTTGAATCAATTGGATTTTGGTTAAGTAAACACAATCCTGGGCTTTTTATCCCAAGGTGTCTTTGGCGCAAGTTTGAAGTTTCATTCGTGACGATAGTTGCAGCAAGCCTCCATGGGGTGGGGCTTGTGCGAAAAACTGAACTGTAGCTGTGGTGCAAGACAAGACGATGACGCACATTGTTGATGGCTGTTACCATGAACCAAGCTTATCAGTGGTCTATAGACGACACCGCTGCACGCACCGGAATGATGAAGCTGCTGCCTGGATCGGTGCAAATACACACGCTAATAAAATAAAATTAGTGAAAATAAAATCATGAAAAGTTTCAGTAGCGTGGTTTTTGTAAGCACTCTTATCGGTGACTGGAGTATGATGACCTTTTATGACATCAATGTTATCACGCGCAATGCGTTGTGGAAGACTGTACTCCAACTCCATTGTGCCATGCAGTGCATTGTGGGAGGTGGCCATATTAAACAGATGGAGGGTGGCGAATGTCGGGGAACTTTAAGCTCATAACGACTGCATTTGAGCCAGACTTTGGTTTGATGGAGATTCAGGAGGTGAATCATTGTTATTTTTTTTTTACAGTATCAGATTTAAACTACAATTTTTGTTTTGTTCATTCATTGTTTTGGTAGCGAATTAACGTCTCATAAATTAGTTCACTGGGTTGCATCTTTGTTGATTAAGCTTGACGTTGTGAACCTCGTGCGTGTGTGTTCTCTCTCTAGAGGGCGGGCGACGGCTGAGGTTCCTTCTGAGCTTTGCGGTTGGCGGGCTTCTTGGAGACGTGTTTCTGCACCTGCTGCCCGAGACCTGGCAACATGGCTGCACCCAAGGCAAGTCCCAGGCACCACTGCAGGCCTCTGCATGCTCCCGACATTGCGTCTGTGTGCGTGCATGATTTTATGTATGTGTGTGTGGCAGTGTAGCGGTTAGCGCGCTGCGCTATGAACCCGGCGACCCGAGTTCGATTCCCGATCTCAGCCAACACCAGTGACGATTATCTGAACCGGTCCTGGGCCTCCCCTAAGTAGACTCAGACTAAAATGAGTGCCTCGTGCAGTGCGTAAACATCACCACTGGGGAGAAAAAGGCGGCTGGGCGTGGTTGCTGGCCACGCACCCCCTCATGTGCCGTTCCGGCCTTCATTGGTGCTCGATAACAGCACTTGCCTTAACAGTCTGTTAAGGCTATACCGGGGATCTTTGTCTTTGTTTGAGTGGGGAGCGGTAGTGTAGTGGTTAGTGCGTTGTGCTACGAACCTGGAGACCCTAGTTTGATTCCCGCTCACAGCCAACACCAGTGACATGTATCTGAACTGGTCCTGGGCCTCCACTAGGTAGACCCAGCCTCAAATAAATACCTGGTGCGGGCGTGGTGTTGGCCACCCACCCCCTCGTGTGCCGTGCCGGCCTTCATAGGTGCTCACTAACAGCACTTGCCCCTACAGTCTGTTCAGGCTATATGGGAGGTCTTTGTCTTTGTTTGAATGTGTGTGTGGATGTATGCTTCTAAATGTTTGTGTGTGAAAAGTGGCCATAAACTCAAAAAGACATTGCAATGGGGAGGAAGAGCAAATATTTATTGAGCTGAGCACACGAGCCACTCAAAAGTTAGCCCACTTTGCATAACCCTGACTAGTAGACAAGTATTAGCCCTACTCTTAACCCTAGCCAACTAGCCAGCCATCCTCTTGTAATAGCTCTACCCCTATCCCTAACCTCGCCAGGTCCCTCTGTAACTTTCAGGTCACGTGTTCATAATGCTCTATGATCCCAATGATTTGAGTTTGATTTCTGGCCAAAGATAACATCAATGGCAAGTGGTATCTGAACCTGTGCTGAACCTTGCCTGGTTGACTCAGCCCTGCTAAACAGCAGCCCTGTGAAGAAACAGGTGACCAAGCATTGTGCTGGCCAGACCAATTCTTAAATGTGCCATGTCCGTTTAAGTAGACGCTCACTAACAGCATTTGCGTAGACAATCTGTTCGGCTAAACCGAGGATCTGTGTCTTTGTCTGCATGGGTAACGGTCGCGCAGCGGTTAGCACGCTGTGCTACGAACCCGGCGACCTGAGTACGATTCTCACTGACAGCCATCATCAGTGACGATTATCTGAACCGGTGCGGGGTCTCCCCTAGGCCAACTCGGCCATAAATGAGTACCCGGTGCGATGTGTTAACATCAGCACTGGGGAGAGCCGGTCGTGGTGCTGGCTACCTTCCCCTTCTCTTGCTGTGCCGGCATTCTTAGGTGCTACAAGGCTATAACGGGAGATCTTTATCTTTGTTTTGTGTGTGTGTGTTTGCTTTGTGTGCTCACATGTTCATTGTGTGCGTAGGTGCGGGGCTGTGGGTCACAGTGGGGCTCCTCACTTTCCTGGTGTTGGAGAAGGTGTTTCCTGACGTCGATGAAGATGAACCGCCCGCCACGGTACAACAACAACAACACCCGCCATTCGGCCACTACGTGGCGGTGACGTCACCACAGTACACACACTGTTTATCCTCAAAATAACGTGGCCACGTGGTATCTCGACCCGTGTGCAGGAAGTCCCCGTGGTGTACTCGGCCTAACGTGCATGCGCAAACATCAGCACTGTGAAGAGGCAAAGGGGGCCGGGCATCGTGCTCTGGTGCTCTGGCCCAGACCACCCCCAAGGGGGTTTTGAGAGAATGACTCAACATTGTTATTAAATGGAGGAATCGTTAAATCCTGAGAACGTGCAAAGCAACGCTGCCTGCGCCAGACCATTCCAGCTTAGCACTGTACAGTAGGAGTTACTAGTTCCCGTACAGTAACCAAGTCCCTCGTAGCACCGCTTTCCCACTCTACCTCGAGATCAAGCAATACTTTGTTTAATTACTGTACACCTTAATACCATGTACTCTTTCAGCTTTAATATTGCACACTTGTTTTATGAGTTGTTAACGGGCTAACATGCATGGGGGGGGGGGGCGGGGTGGGGGGGGGCAGTTAGCTTTGTCTGCATGTCATTTTAGTTGATGAATTCATTTCTTGTCACATGCCCAGTCAGCACGACTAGACCTTTGTATCATAACGCGCCTTCCGTAGGGGAACCAGAAATGCAGAAGGGATTTATTCGGCTAAATCAGCCGTCCTCGTTATGAATTCAGCATTCTGCTCAAATTCTCATCATGTTCTGCAAACAAATAGCTGATGCAACTTTTCCTAACTGTCAATACTTTATTGAGCAATCTTAAGTACTCTAATCAGCACCTTTGAACATAGTCATCAACAACAAACAAGTTGCTGTTATATCAACATACGAACATATTAAAATATGCTACCTGTCTTGTTATCAAGCTGCAAAAAGGGCATGTAGTTAATTGACCCAAGAATAACCCACAGTGTTGCATTTTGGTTAAACCGTGTGCGTTAATTCTGTAGTGTGACGTCAGTACATTTGTTGTGCAGTACGACTACGCGAAGACGGGATTTACTATAAGGGCTGTTGCCGTTTATTAACACTGTTTCACACAACACTGTAACTCACACCAGAGGTAGGTGCTCTCTTTTCTTGGTCCTTACCCTGGACCCCCGAACTCTGTATTGTCCCACCCTCGGCTATCCCTTGGCTGTCCCACTCGTCTGCACGGGACGGGGGTTCATCCAACACCGCCCGGCGACGAGGAGAGAGAACCCTCTCTCTCTCAGCCGATTCTTACTGATTACTCAGGGCCCTGCTCCCGGCTATCCGTTAGCTGTCCCACTCGTCTGCACGTGACGGGGGTTCATCCAACACCGCCCGGCGACGAGGAGGGAGAGCCCTCTTCCAGCCGATTCTTGCCCTGGCTCCCCACACTGACCCCGCCTTCGTCACGGGGGTCCCCCTTAAGTACCCCTTTGGCAGCTCCTCCCCCTAGCTCGGACCCGCCCTTGTTCCCGAAGGTACCCCCTTACAGCCCCCGTGACATGACGTCATCCTCGGCTGTCAACTCGCTCGCACCTCCCTCTGTTCGCTCCCTCATGGTTGCTCACACGACTCCTCTACATCACCTCCCCCCCCCCCCATAAAAAAAAATTTCAGCCGTCCCGGCTGCTAACTATACCAAAACCAACCCGCATCGGGGTCGACAGCAAACAGCCAGAAACCCATCAGCAAGAACAATTGGAACAAAACATAACAATATCAACAATATTCTTGGTTCTTTCGGTAAAGTCACGTAGAAGGGAAACAATCAAATAATAAAAAATTATAAAAATGAAACAAAATTCTCACGACGTTTCAACTGCAACACAAGCAATCATCATCAGGTGTGAAAACCACAGCAAGAAATTTTGAAAAAAGTAGCTTTTTTTCTCTCTCAACGTTCGCACCACTGACAGCGATTCGAATCGCTGTCAGTGGTTCGAACGTTAAGAAAAAACGTGTGGAGTGGTTTCGCGATCGTCGCAAAATCCCGCACAAAGCGACGGTAATATGAGGCAAAGCCAACGAAACTGCGAACCTCCTCGACAGATGTGGGGGTTGGCCGTGCACGGACGCAAGCAGTTTTTTTCTGGATCTGCGGCGACACCTGACGCACTGACCACATGGCCCCAAATACTTCACCGATGGCTGCAGCAAATGGCACTTTTGGGGTTTTAATTTCAGACCAGCAGCACGCACTTTGACGAAGACCGACTCAAGACATTGCAAGTGTTCGTCAAACGTGCGGCTGAAAACGATGACATCGTCCAAATGTATTAAACAAGATTCCCACTGTAGTCCCGCCAAGACCATCTCCATGAGGGAGAGCCCTCTTCCAGCCGATTCTTGCCCTGGCTCCCCACAACGCCCACGCCTTCGTCACGGGGGTCCCTCTTAAAGTACCCCTTTGGCGGCTCCTCCCCCTAGCTCGGACCCGCCTCTGTTCCCGAAGATACCCCCTTACAGCCCCCGTGACATGACGTCATCCTCGGCTGGCAACTCGCTCGCTCCTCCCTCTGTTCGCTCCCTCATGGTTGCTCACACGACTCCTCTGCACATTTATTCCACATAATTGTAATACACAACAGCACGTGTCCACTTACACTCAAAACACGCTATTAATCCACCGGCACACGTGCACCCTTCCGCACATGATACACTGGCAGGTTAAGTACACATTCAATACATTTACTGACCATACAGATATGGTGATTACACACGTAACAAACATGCACTCGGGCAACGTGCGTACATATATGCATGCATACACACGTTCCTCATTCAGGCATTATGCACGTGCAGTACAACAAAGACAAAAATACTCCCTATAGCCTTTGACGGATGCATTGGAAAACTGCTATTAGCAAGACTGGCACAGGACATGAGGTTTGTGGCAAATACCGCGCCCGACAGTCGGACGCGGTGTCTTCCCAGTCCTGATGTTTACACACCGCACCAGGCACTCATTTAAGGTACTAATTTAAGGCTGAGGCGACCTAGGGGAGGAGCAGGAATGGTTCAAATATTCTCCACTGTTATTGGTCGTGAGCAAGAAATTAACTCGGGTGGCTGGGTCTGAAGCGCAGTGTGCTAACCACTGCACCACCACTCCTCCATGCATATACACATTACCATACGCATTATTTTTTTTTTAAAGGCAAGGTGCACAAGCACCCATAGAATACACACATGATCCATGTACACATGTATTATAGAGGACGCAGCACATACACAGTTTACACACGTAATTTCAGTTGTGCATACACGTATATTATACAGGCATGCTGCAAACACCTACACACCATATACAGTCACACCTCGGTATACGACCGCTTTGGAATACGTCCAATTTGGTACACGTCTTGTTTTGACGAGAAAAAAATGTCTCGGGATACGACGCCTTGCTTGGGATACTAGGTGCTTGCTAGAACTTGTTTGGGTCGGGATGAGTCACCCTTTCCCCGCGTAGACCCCGTTCACGACTGAAACAAAGCGCCGCTCCTCAGTCTGCCTGTACAGTATTTTAATTTATGCATTTATTTTAATTTATGTATGCATTTTAGTAATAAGTGTCTAAATTATCTTATACAACCCCATTAATGTATAATATGCCATATAAAATATAATTTATTATACTCTGGAACGGATTATTTCCTTTCCCTTTATTTCTTATGGGAAAAATGCGTTTGGTATTTACGTCACTTTCGGTATAAGTCCTCCTACCTTCTGGAACGAATTAACGACGTATACCGAGGTACCACTGTATTGACACGTATTGACTGTATACTTACCAGCACAAAGTGCATTTCGACTGTCGTACACAGTGAACACTCGCATGCATTGTCACGTGCGATGGTGATCAATCGCAAGCAGTGACCGTGGTTCTTAAAAAAATTAAGTGTTTCATTATTTTTTTCCCTTTGCCAGAACGGCGTCGCGTCAACAGGGAATGGCGTCGATTCAAGAGAAGGGAACGGCACCATCGGGAATGGATCGGCGATCTCCAATGGCCAAAGCAAGAGTGCCAGTAAAAGGGAGCTGTCGCCCAGCGGCAAGGCGACATCTGAGCACATCAAGGTGACGATGTTTGTTTGTGTAGATCGGGGATAGTGAACATACAGCCCGGCCTATTATTTCCCACTACGGAACGGCCTTTAAGCGGCATTTATCCGCCACTTCAAGCATCTTAGCCACCACACTAATCGGGTTGCTTAGAGGGAAATATGTCCGACCTGGCAACAACACTGTGTTTTTAACTTTAGTGTACTCAAGTAATTGCTGTGGCTTCAAGGGTCTCTCTATACTTGGGCAACACACCCGCGTTATGGTATCGCGTGAAGGTGTGCCAATGTGTGGCCCGCAAAAGTTATTTAAGAGTTATAGTCAGTCCTGATTAAGGAAAAGGTTTCCCCATGCCTGGTGTCGATTTATTTACGGGGCGCCACGGTGGCGAGATGTTAACTACCTCGCCTAGTATGCAGGAGGTCTTGGGTTTCATCCCGACCCTGATGCCTGTATATTTGGAGTTTGCATGTCCTCCCCATAGTCACGTGGATTTTTCTCCGGGTCCTCTTGTTTTTCCCTCCACATTTAGAATCAACGTGCGTTTAGAATATTTGGTTGAGCTGCATTTCCACGTGATAAGCCACTTTGTTGAGCTATCATTTGTGGCCTGGTCACTTCTGAAAAAAATCGATATAGCTCAGTGGGCCTTCCCTGGTAAAACAAAAATTGTAGTTTTGGATTTAATTAATGTGTTATTTTTTTTCATTCATGTGTCTTTTAGAAACCGCATGCTTCAAAGCCAAGGTGTCACTCGCTCATGAGCAATGGGCGATGCTCATGTCCATTGGTTTCCTCGAGCCATTGGCGAAAATGTAATATTCCCATGGCAGTGGTCTGTTTACCCATAGGAGTATGCCCGTTGACTCTCCACAACAGTGGTACTCACCTTCTTGGTTATTTCGGTAAAGTCGCGTAGAAGGGAATTAATAAAATAATAAAACATGATCAAATATTCTCACGACGTTTCGGCCACAACACAAGCAGCCGTCCTCAGGTGAAGACACAGAACTGTCGGAAAGACAGCGCTCCAATGGAACTGTCCAAGAAGGATGATATAATTCACGGTTATGATGATATTCAAGGCGGCGTGTTTATTGATATTGATTTTTTACCAGATTCATTGCAAAGTGCCTCACTATTGTTGTCCTATAATTTGGAAACAAATGCACATATTTAAATGCTTAGTCAATGAAATGTTTAGGAATTCTAAAATATTTTTTTTTTCTTGGGAGGTGAATCCATATCGGTCAGGACATTACAAGCATGCACATTTGAAGCAAATCTTTTAACAGCGTTTAGAGGTGGTCAGAGTCTACAGTTAAAATCTAAGCCAGGAAATGTGGAAGGACTCCACAGAAAGAATAGGAATTGCAGCTGGAAAAGTTACTGATGAAACGTTGAAGTGTAGGTGCAAAGAAAAGCATGGGTGTAAAATCGTAATTGAGATGTCTATTTTTTACGGTATATCTCGTGTATCTATATATGTAGGTTGAACTTATTTTCGCACCGTACGTAGCCAACCGTGCTTATCGAAGGTGCAGGTGAAGGACGACAAACTGAACACAAAAAGCAGTTGTAACGTAATGTCATGAAAATGGGCCATTGTACATGTCCAGCCGTTTTGTCCCTCCATTGCTGGAGGAGGCCCTCCTGATGCTGTGCGGATTGTTGCGTACTTCACACTGCATCAGTCCATGACACCTATTTGTATGCATGGTGCTCGCCCTCACAAGCACTATGTAGCACCATCCAGGCCCAAATTCCTCCTTGGCTTCTGAGATCTGAAGAGATTGGGCAACATTCTGGTTGATCTGGTCATAGACGTCATGAATATGTTGTTATTGAAACCAGGGAGAGACTTCACAGTCACTCTTGATGGCTTTTATTCACCTGTTATTCCTTCCATCTGTTTGCACACTGCTTTACGGAGTTTGTGTGTGGATGCCAAAGGTGGTGGTTAAACAGTAACTTGTGTATGTTTTGGCAGGCATGACCTTGTCCATGAACCCGTGTGTGACTCAACATCTCAGCCAACAGGCTGAGATGTTGAGTCACATTTTACTTACCAAAATCATGAGCAAACACAAGATCCAGGTTCGATTCAACACAGTACATAATATTTGTGATCTGATCCCATCTGTGAAGGATGTGATCCTTGACATGCAATACCCCGGTGTCTACAAACTAAGCTGTGTCTGCGGCAGTAGTTGCATTGGGTAAACTAAGCGACATGTCTCGAACCGTGTTTGTGAACATAAGGCAGATCTGAAACACGGTAGGACCAATACCTCGGCTGATCATTGTTTTAATGCTCACACGAAATAGATTTTTCCAAGACGAAGGTACTATGCAAACCTACTGGCTATCAGCAAAGATTCGTTCATGAAGCCATCCAGATATATAAACACAGACACAATTTCAACCGAGAAGATGGGTACAAACTGAGCAATCATTGCAAGGACGTTATTAACCAGTTTAAGTCATAACTGGCTGTGATGTTTCCATCCTACTTGCCGATGTTAGCAGTTATTTTCGACTCTGAGTTACATTACCAGGTTAAATGTCTTTACATTAACAGGCTAAATGTCTCACTAACACAGCCACCGTTGCTCGTTTTCCTCGATGTGGCAGTGGTTTTCGTGTTGTTCGATTGTCTTACATTGACATGCTAATCTCTAACAATACAACGTCGTGGAGGTAGCTCAGCTCTCCGATCTTACATTTACATGCAAATTTCATCTCTAGCCCTGCCCACTTCGCTTATGACCCTTGGGCTACATCCATCTCAAACCTTTATAACATTCTGCCTCAGCAGCTCTCCCGCTATATTTTTTTCACCTGATGACGATTGCTTGTGTTGCGATCGAAACGTCGTGATATTTTTTTATTTTTTATTGTTATTTTTCTTCTATCTACGTTGGTTTAACCGAAAGACCCATAGAATATGAATTCCTGCAGTCATGAAAGCTTTAAGTCAAAATTTGATAGATGCAGTCACACAAAGGCAGAGGAGAAGAGGTAGGTGGTGACCTTGGATTCGAACGGGGAAGGGAGTCGACAGAGCGGACGGCTGGGGGCCCAGGTTCCAGATGATGGGGACAACAGGAGAATTAGCGACCTCCCACTGGAGTGCAGAGCACTATATTGAAATTGATATGCTCAAAATGACAATAAATTTAACTTGTAACACGCACAGTATTCGCTCACTATTGAAGAGAGAACGGTGAAGAGGTATGAGGAACCACAGACTAACGGGAAGGCAGCCACATGGTAACCAGTGCCAATAATTGCCCAAGCTCTACAGTCCTCTATATATGAAGGTGTTATTGGCCAATTAATGAGTGTTTACATGTGGGAGGAAACTGTAGCACCATGAGAAAACCCACACGTGCAAGGGGAGAAACACTGTCCCATTTAGACGGAACAGGTGGAGTCCACATTTTTGCTTCTTTTGCCTTCTCCAGGCAAGCCAGGGAATGACACCTCGTCCACACATGGGAGAAGGGAGTTTCGCAGCATTTGTGCGATTCACCAACCCTCGCCTCCAGTGATGGATACAAGGCATGGATAGCCACCACCGCATGGCTAAAATGTGGATTATTTAAATTAAGTTTCTGAAAAGTTGCATATTTTGCCAGATTTGGTGGCATATGCTTGTAATTCCATACCAGGTTATGATGGATCATCCCAGATTTCATCATTCACTGTGAAACTCACAAACAGACTAGGTTGCGATGCAGTCACGAGGTAGCAGTATAGAAAGTGGGTTCATGAACCCATCCGTGCTAACTTTCAATTTCTATCCAGTTGTAAGCTTAGATTTCCTCTGGATACTCAAGTGTCCCACTTCAATGAAACACACTCCTTGTAAGGGAATTGGGCAAACAACCCAATGGAGGACCTTCCTAGTATTTTGTCTCAGGCTTTCCTCGAAAATAAAGGATGATTTTTGTGCAATGAATGTGCATTGTTAACCAGGATGATGATTGACGATCATCGTACTGACCTATCTGAATTTAAATGAACAATAATAATAGGGTTTTCCCCTTTTATCTTGCAACAAAACTGAAACCTTTTTTACGAGGATTCATGTCTGCATTAACCACAATACCCGCAGTCAAAATGCAAACAAAAAACCTACTATGATATAATATATGCATTGTCCTTGAAACTGATTGGTCCACACCAAGGGGTGGCTTTCTTTTGAGCCTCGACCCAATTGGTGCTCGACCAGATGACGCCAAAAGGCGTACAGCTCAAAGACGATGCACTATCAAAGTGATGAGGGCTCGGGGCGAGCATCTACATCATTAGACCTCCTTTGCCAGTACCAAATAAGTTTCAACGACAATGCATATTTCATCATAGTATGTTTTTTTTGCATTTTGACTGCAGGCATTGTGGTTAATGCAGACATGAATCCTTGTAAAAAAAGGCTTCAGTTTTGTTGCCATAAAAAAGGGGGAAAAACCCTATTATTAAATGAACCACTTTGGCTTACTGTCTTGATTCCTTTACTATGTTGCTTATGTATGCTGCCGTGGTGTGAAGGTTAGCACACTGGACTAGCAATCTAGAAGTTGCCGGTTCCATTCGATCTCAATGGGAAAGTTGAAACAACGGTGCAGCTTTCTTATATGGTTCGCCACTTCTGTCCACCCAGCAGTTTTTAATGGTTACACCACAGTCAGTCGATCGGCAGGTCGCGTATTTTGGGCTAAAGTGCGAGCAAGGAAGAATAAGCCGAATACCTTCCTCTACTTACGAACGAGTTAGGTTCCAGAGGTCTGTTTGTAAGTCGATTTGTTCGTAAGTCCAACTTTACTCCCGTCGATGGCTTTAAAAGTTGTATAATCGCCTGTAGATGTGGATGCCACTGGTTATTCGTGTTCTACAGATGTAGATGCCACTACCGCCATCTATTGCATGGCGGTTGAACTTACGACTCTCGGTCCGAACAGGCAACTGGACATACAGTGATGGAAAAAAGTATTGGATCCCCTGCTGATTTTGTACGTTTGCCCACTGGCAAATAAATGATCAGTCTATAATTTTAATGGTAGGTTTATTTGAACAGTGAGAGACAGAATAACAACAATAAAATCCAGAAAAACGCATGTCAAAAATGTTATAAATTGATTAGGCATTTTAATGAGGGAAATAAGTATTTTACCCCCTCTCAATCAGAAAGATGTCTGGCTCCCAGGTGTCTTTTATACAGGTAATGAGCTGAGATTAGGAGCACACTCTTAAAGGGAGTGCTCCAAATCTCAGCTTGTTACCTGTATAAAAGGTACCTGTCCACAGAAGCAATCAGTCAATCAGATTCCAAACTCTCCACCATGGCCAAGATCAAAGAGCTCTCTAAGGATGTCAGGGACAAGATTGTAGACCTACACAAGGCTGGAATGGGCTACAAGACCATTGCCAAGCAGCTTGGTGAGAAGGTGACAACAGTTGGTGCGATTATTCGCAAATGGAAGAAACACAAAAGAACTGTCAATCTTCCTCGGCCTGGGGCTCCATGCAAGATCTCACCTCGTGGAGTTGCAATGATCATGAGAACGGTGAGGAATCATCCCAGAACTACACGGGAGGATCTTGTGAATGATCTCAAGGCAGCGGGGACCATAGTCACCAAGAAAACAATTGATAACACACTACGCCGTGAAGGACTGAAATCCTGCAGCGCCCGCAAGGTCCCCCTGCTCAAGAAAGCACATACATGCCCGTCTGAAGTTTGCCAATGAACATCTGAATGATTCAGAGGACAACTGGGTGAAAGTGTTGTGGTCAGATGAGACCAAAATGGAGCTCTTTGGCATCAACTCAACTCGCCGTGTTTGGAGGAGGAGGAATGCTGCCTATGACCCCAAGAACACCATCCCCACCGTCAAACATGGAGGTGGAAACATGCTTTGGGGGTGTTTTTCTGCTAAGGGAACAGGACAACTTCACCGCATCAAAGGGACGATGGACGGGGGCCATGTACCGTCAAATCTTGTGTGAGAACCTCCTTCCCTCAGCCAGGGCATTAAAAATGGGTCGTGGATGGGTATTCCAGCATGACAATGACCCAAAACACACGGCCAAGGCAACAAAGGAGTGGCTCAGAAGAAGCACATTAAGGTCCCGGAGTGGCCTAGCCGGTCTCCAGACCTTAATCCCATAGAAAATCTGTGGAGGGAGCTGAAGGTTCGAGTTGCCAAACGTCAGCCTCGAAACCTTAATGACTTGGAGAAGATCTGCAAAGAGGAGTGGGACAAAATCCCTCCTGAGATGTGTGCAAACCTGGTGGCCAAATTCAAGAAACGTCTGACCTCTGTGATTGCCAACAAGGGTTTGCCACCAAGTACTAAGTCATGTTTTGCAGAGGGGTCAAATACTTATTTCCTTCATTAAAATGCAAATCAATTTATAACATTTTTGACATGCGTTTTTCTGGATTTTGTTGTTATTCTGTCTCTCACTGTTCAGAAAAACCTACCATTAAAATTATAGACTGATCATTTCTTTGTCAGTGGGCAAATGCACAAAATCAGCAGGGGATCAAATACTTTTTTCCCCTCACTGTACAGACAGGTTTGCTCGTATCTCTGAAAGTTCGTAAGTCGAATGTTCGCAAGACTAGTCCCTGTATAAGGGCTGTCGAGAGCTTTCCCTAGCGGAGCTCTTCCAGCAGCAGTCGCGTGAGCACGTAGTTGAAGGGCTGCAGCTTTAACTTTTCACTGTCTGGGTTACAGATTAGCGGTTACCTGAATCTCTTTGCGAACTGCGTGGACAACTTCACACACGGCCTGGCGGTAGCAGGGAGCTTCCTGGTGAGCCACAAGGTAAGAATCTCATGTCCCCTGCAGCACAATGTTTGACACTCTAGGGACAGTGTATGACCAGGCCACTCGCATTTCTTGGATTTGCACAACACTGCACTCGTGCTCAATCAAAGTATCTCCCAGCTTAACTGAGCAATGCAGTGGCCCTCTTCTCCTGTGACCCTAAGCATGGACATCCACAGCGTTTGGTCAATCAACGGCCAGATGAGGGCCTCACCCCACTGAGTAGGTTACAACGGGGTTATTGGACCATACTTGATTGGTGCGAGTTGGATGATGGCGCCGATAACAGACAATGAAGCATTGTACAGCACGACAGTGGATTTGCTGCATTACCTTCTGCTGACAACGTCGCCTTGAAGCTGCCTGCAAGATATTTCGTGCATGGTGGTCGTCCATCCGAGCAACATTCGGGCTTAACCCTGCTTTAGCTTACAAGATCTGAAGAGTTTGGGCACATTCTGAGGGATGTGGTCATAGGTGGACTGAGGCAATTGTTGGAAATTCCACGTTCTTATTGTGGGGTCTGGTTTAACCATAGAATGATCACTGTTGACTTGCCAGAAAGTGGTGCTCATTTTACTGACCCCAGATCAATTATAGGCTAAGTTGACCCCCGAGCATTCTGATTATGAATCAAGTGCAATGAGAACTGGGACTTTTCAGCCAGACTATTTGAGTGTTCGCGTAACCCTAACCCAGGAACGCTCAGACAACAAGCATAAACGATAATTCGCTACCGTCATCATTCATGCTGCCGCCTTACGAAAGAAAATCGATTCATTCAGAATAATTACGAAATAAGAATATATTGTGGGGCAACGTTTGCCTAAAATATCACACTGTTTTTTACATATATATCTCCGTTAATTATGAAGTTGCGAAAAAAATGTTTAACTGCTACCGGTGCAGACTTTTAAAACATGTTTTCATTTGACTATTAACATGAGTGAAGTGAAAAGAGCTTTCAGCTGCTGTGGCTTTGCCCACAGAGGCCCCCTGTGTGTGCTGCACATGCCTGCCTGCGCAACCCTGTCTTAACCACTGTCGTCGACCATGGTCAATCCGCTGCTGGATGAAGGCCTCCCCCAAGGCGATCGTCATCTCTCACTGTCTTGCAATGCAACAATTTGTCCAGCTGCTGCACATGAGTTAATCTCATTAACGCCATCTTCGCGATGGATGTACTCTTAGGCACGTTTTCTTTTTGGCTGCAACTTCATCGTTGGTCTCTCTGCGTTGATTCTAATGTATCTCACCAACAAATTAAATTCCACACGGATGTCCTGACCAGGTCCCCAAGACACCTGCAGTAGCAGTCAACGTGGCACAGCAGCCTTGTCACCAGTAGCACGTGTGGTGAATGTGTTGGTATTTACGTTGAGGTTGTCCCTCCAGGTTGGATATCTTACGACGCTTGCAATTCTTCTGCATGAGATCCCACACGAGGTAAGTCCTCTAATAATGAGCGTTTATATTTTTTTATTGGCTTTTAATACAAATGAGCTTATTATTTACAACGTTCTAGCCATTGAAGGGTTTAGTCTGTCATTCAATATCTACTAAGACGGTGGTGGCCAACACTGGTGGGGGGGGGGGGGGGGTGGTACATGCCCCCCCCCAATGATCTGATCGAAATCCCTAATTTCAATCGGATCATTGTGGTTTATTAGTAATAAATCGGCATCTTGCGACCCCCACTGCCACTGTGTAGCATATTTTTAAGTGCCAGAGACTCTATGAGATGATAGGACAATAGTCTGAGTCCATAATTGGCAATAAGTAACGGCAAAGCAGTTATAAGTGACTCACAGAATTGTGCGCAGTTGCGTATACAGTACACGACTTCCCTGAAAGCACACCTTCAACGAGCGCTATGCCGATCATACATGGTTCGAATTCGACCCTCGATCGATGGCTATGCCATCGCCGCACACGCGTGGAATAAAAAGCAAGGGACAAGTTCTTATTTTCATTGCTGGAGAGATTGCCCCCCCCCCGTACCTGAAAATCCTGGCTCCGCCATTGGTGGCCAACAAGTGACTCGCCATCCACAGCTGCATCGCAAAATATTCTTTGTCTATCTCAGGATTTTTTTTTTTAAAAACGCTAATGTAAGCAGACGCCGATTTTTGTGGCTTAACGGCAAATAAAAAAAATCCCTAAGAATTAATTCGTCAGCAACATGACTTCTGTTTAACACACGGCTTTCATAACGTCTACCAATAGATGACGCTATGACCGTGTCCAATGAGCACGGTTGGCTGCGTACGGTGCGAAAGAAATTCAACATACACACATGCGCGTACTTTATGCCCATGTATATTACGGGGTTCAATCGGGTAATGGTTGGTCGTAGCTTTTTTTGGTGGATTGCGGAACCCGTTGAGATTCACCGGGATGGACCACCGTGCTTCGTGGTTCATCCATGGCGTAGAGTGCAGTTTCCAAAACGTCACCTATGATATATATTTGCTTTTAAGGCCACAGTGTTTATAACGAATGTGTTCAAATTGTATTGTTAATTGTGCTTGTGCACTAGTGTGCAAACACAATGATTCTCTCCCCCACCCACTCCCCACCTCGCAACTCAATACATTCTTACCATTCAGGGTCTAAGTTCAATGCAGGAGGCAATTATTGTATTTTTTCCATGGTGGCAAAAGAGCCTCTGCCGTTCATCGTGGACTGACTGAGCATCTCGGTTTACCCATGCAGCCTCCATGAGCGACGGTGGAAGCTCATCTGCTGTCATTGTGGAGCCTCTAGTGGCCGCAGCGGTTAGGTTGAAACAGTTCCACGCGTACCAATCAAATATGAGGTAAATCTCCTCATCTATATGGCGCTGCAGTGGCGAGATTTTAACTACCTAGCCTGGTACACAGGAGGTCGTGGGTTCGAGCCCGACACCTAACCCCTGTATGTTTGGAGTTTGCATGTCTCTCTCCCCGTGGGCGTGTGGATTTTTCTCCAGGTCCTCTGGTTTAACCCTCCACATTTAGAAACGATGCATTTCGAGTATTTTGGTCCTGTAAATTTCCACATGACAAGCCACTTTATTGGGCTATCATTTGTGGCCAGGTCGCTTCTGAAAAAGAGCTGTTGAGCACATGGGGCCTGACCTGGTAAAACAGGAAAGAATTTAGAGTTTTAGATTAGAAACTTCTGATGTCTGTGAATCATCCTGTCAAAAAAATATGTACACCTTTTTTGGGCAACCAAGATTGGTTGTCCTGTGAAATGCATCTCCTGCATCATGGCAATGTGGATTTTTCCACGTCCAATGGATTTTCACCACTGGCTGAAGGACATCAATTGATATGATCGCCATCCTATTTTCCGTTTACAGGCATGGGATATTTTGTCTGACGTGAACGTTAACAGGGCATGCAACCGACGAGAAACAACTGGACGCCTGTTGTTGCAACTGTGTTTACGGCGACTGTGTGTCTGTGAAGTTCGGAGACTTCGCCATTCTGCTGAGGGCCGGGTTTGACCGATGGCAGGCGGCCAAGCTGCAGCTCATCACCGCCTTCGGGGGCATCTGTGGAGCCGTGTTCACGCTCACCGCCCAGTCCGCACAGGGGGCAGGTCGGTTGTGCGTGTGTGCGTTTGTCTTTGTGACATGGGGCAAGTCGTGGTCGTCTTGTTGTGGGTACTTCCCTGCGCGCGCTCTCCTACCAATTCCCGCTCACCTCGCTCTACTCCCCTCCATGCACTCGCCTACCTCTCCCCTATAATCTCATTCTTCTGCCTCTCCCCCTTTGCACTTCGCAACAGCTGTGGGATTTAGCAAAAAGGAAACGATAGCAATGTGCGGTGACCTCTTGCCGTTGACCTTCCGAGGTCGGCGTGCACCCGTCGCCACGTTGCGCTCACAGCGAAGGTGGCGTTCCCGTGTCGCCTGTACAGGGGACAGCACCGCCTGGATCCTCCCGTTCACGGCGGGCGGCTTCCTCTACATCGCCCTCGTCGGGGTCATGCCGGAGTTGCTGCAGGAAAAAAACCCGTGGTGCGTGCACTTATGCCGCCGCCCACACGCACCGTGATGCACACACCATGATACACTGCCTGCACATCCATAGGAAGAGCACAAAGGTGGTACCCCTGATAGACCTTTAACAGAATTTTGGGGCAAGTGTTGTTAGCGAGGACCTTCGTAAGGCCGGCACCACACAAGCCCCGCCGCCTTTGTGTCTCCAAAGCTCCTTGTTTACACACTGTACCAGGTATTCATTTGAGGCTGAGTCGACCTTGATATCTTTTTTTTCTCTCTATCACCTTGTTCCGTCTGTAAATTTAATTAGCTGACGTTTACCAGCCTTACATTTGCTTGCAAATTCCATCCCTAGCCCTGCCCACTTACCCTTGGGTTGTACCCACCACAAACCTTATATAACCTCTGGTTGCAGTAGCTCTCTCGCTACATTTCCTCCTGCCTCAGCGGTCCGCCTGCTGTATTATTTCACCTGAAGACGATGGCTTGTGTTGTTATCGAAACGTCGTGATCTTATTAGCTATTTTTCTATCTACGTGACTTTACCGAAAAGAACCAAAGAATAACAGACAGTCTCTTGGTAAACTGGTCCATGCCATTAGAATGTGGAATTTCCACCACTTGCTCTGGGCCACAAGTAGAGATGAGCACCATTCCAATGCTCGCTTAAGCAAGGTAGACGCTTCGACTTTTTTCGAGTTTGTGTTGGGAATTTACCATCCTCGCCACATTCACTTCTGCTGTTCTACCTCCCTATGCATCACCACCTCCAACGGTCTCTCCTGCCCACCCCATTCGATGCTCCGCAGGGACTCCCTGTGGCAGCTGCTGTTCATCCTGTGTGGCATCGGCGTCATGGCGATAGTGACCATCGTCGTGGACTGACCACTGAGGGCATCGCGACTACCCGGGCAGCCTCCCGCGAGTGATGGCGGAAGCTCGCCTGCTCTCCGACTCTGTGAGCACGGACATCGTACGCCTCCCCACCCCAACCCCAACCCCAACCCACGGCGGTGGTGGGCGTTGTGATGGAAGACTCGTGAAGTTGAGAAACAGATGTTCACTCGGCGCTTTCTACCCCCCCCCCTCCTCCCGCTCGCACCGCGTAAGCCCAGGCAAATCGAACCAGGCTCAGATGCCGATTTTCACGCAGCGAACCATGGGGTTTTGTTAGCGTCCGATTCAAAGCATGGTGTGCGCGCAACTCCCACCGGGCTGTAAAGGTCATCTGGCTGTAAATGCGTGTGTTTTTTTTAATCAAATGTGATGTTTTTTTAGTGGTGAACATGATTGTTATAATCAGTATATATGAATACACACACACACACATCGGCACTTTACACCAGTGGTGTTTTTAAACAGTTCATAGTTTTATGTTGATATTGTGGTGCCAGTGTGTGCTCTTTATGGATCAACAAAAATACAACCGTCTCATCATTCATAACTTGTATGTGACCAAGAGTAGCTCATTAGCTTTACGTATAACTTGCTGAAAGTTTATCATTCATTGTCTATTTATTGTGATGTCCCACATTTTAAGAGTACTCATCGTGTCGATGAGTTGTGGTAGCGTTGACATTTTAAATCAGCTGGGTAGTGCTGTGGTAGAGTACTTTGACTCGCAATCAAATTTAATATGAGTTAAATTCCCTAGTTGTGGGTCGACTCAACCAATCATCCTGATGGGTTTGATAAAATAGATACCACTTTGTGGGAAGGCATCCTTTGGAGATACATAGCAACCGCCTTTATAAAGCAACATTTCCACCACTGGCTCAGTTCTGGTAGTTGAGATAAGCACCACCTTACTCCCTTTTGAGCAGGGGGAGTGCCTTTAACTTGCAATAACTATAAGATTTCTAATGTGAAGTGATTGGGTAGAGATACCACTTCCATTACGGCATCGTGGGTTGAAAGTTCCCGTGGTGGCACAACTGCCCTGGTGGGACACGGTACCAAACATCCCACAAGCTGTGTGCCCTCTGCTTTGTGGCCTTACTGGATTACAGTGATGCCCAAAGAGACCGTAACATTATTTATATAGATGTACAGCAAAATATCTATTTTATAAGAGATTTTTTTTTTAAACCGAGTTATATGGTGTACAGTAGTTTATTAATCGTGCACGCTTTGTGTAGAGGATGCACGCAATATCCAGTACATTTAAAATGTTGTAACATAAACCTTAGGTGTCGCGATATGCCCGTTGTGCTTTAAGGAGGCACAAACATTTACAACTGGGTTTTTTTTTATATTTTTCTTGTTTTCCTGAACTCTTAAGTGTTTTGCTTTTAAGACCAATAACCTTGCCCCTATATTGCGAATACATCTTTAGCGTATGTTCTGTGCATGTTTACCTCTTATGCAGGATTAATTATGTGTTTTAATTGTTGGTTAATATTTGGCAATGCAAAAACAGTTTTAAATCTGTTATGTTTTAGTTGACCGAATGATGTTTGTTTCCAGATTTGACGGTGGGGGGCCCCCAGGAATGTAGAGTAGCACCCTGACCGAGGCTCCCCCAGCCCCTTCACAGGCCATGTCATACTTGGGGGGGGGGGGGGCCCACTCCGAACCCCCTGGGGGAGTACATACTGGGGTTCTGAGTGTATGTCAAATGCATTTTTGCGATAAACAAATTACATTCGCAGCCAGTCTATGCGACGCAAACAAACAGAAATCTTCACGATTTCTTTGCGGCTCTGCAGATGTTAGCCCCACCCACTTCAATAATCTGTTTGTGACCATATTACAGGGATTGACCGATTGTTGGATTGCAAATTATTGCGATTTCTGCTGTAATTTGACTATCGTTTGTTTGCACCTGAATATATGAGCAGATCATTAAGTCGGTGATCATGTTCCCACACTTAACCGAGAATAAGGCATTGCGGTATCACCATTGCCGGTCCTGAGCCAGTGGTATAGACCCCCACATTCCTGCCTACAGGACAAATTCGTTCATGAGACGACCACAGTTGATCTCTCCCACCCAAGTGGTACTCATTTCATCGGTCCTCAATTGTTAATCTTTAACCACAGCGGCACACGTGCCCTTTTGCATTTATTTCCTCCCATTCCCTGCCACTTACAGTCCAAACTCTCTGGGTGCTTCGAGTTTTCGGACAAATTTTACTTCTGCTGCAAAGCTTTGCTTGCTTTATAGCTCTCCAAAGTGTGTTCGGGTTGTACCTCGACTTGTCCGGAATTATGTCCAACATTTCGCTCCACGTGCTGGGATCTTCTTCAGGAACTGAATTTTCTGTCATTTTCCTGTTTGCTGGAGAGCTCATGCCAGAACCATGGCGGTCTAAGCACATACCATCTCGGAGAGACATATTTTGCATCTGCCAAACATGAGCTGTACGCAAGTATACAACTGCTTAGCTATTAACGCAGTGCAATGTGACATGTTGTTAAAAGGAAACTCTGTTTTGTGGGTTGACCATCTTAAACCCGGTTCTACTTATGACTGCGACTACATTCTGATGAAGTTCTGCTTGATTCTGGTGAAACAAAGTTCATTCACGTAATAACTGCATGTCGATGAAGTTTACAATTTTGGCTTGTAAAAAAAAGTCACCTTTATTTTTAAAATAAATAAAATTGCTCATAATAAAAGGAATGCTGTCATTGTAATGTGTGCCGTGCGTTATTTTAAAACTGATATGATGCGGATCGGTCACTTGGGCTATATATAGTGCAATCTAATGTCGACAATCTTGTACCAACCAATTGAATGGGCCAGCGCTGGTGCCGTTCCATGGCACAGGTCACGGCACCCCAACCAGACAGACCGGCCCTTAAAAGGACTTCGGCTCTGAGGCTTTGGGGCCGCACCACTGGCTTGCCCTGCCCGGTCCTCACAAGGACAGCGGGGTCAGGGTAGGCCCAGGGTCTATCTAGCCGGCCTTCAGTCTTCACTGGTTCGTCGCTATTGGCTCCCCCAACACACTGCCCCGAGCTCTCTGGCTCCCCGCCTTTTATACCAATTTGCCACCGAGGGGCGGGGCTGTGAGGGATCGAAACATCCCCCCGCAGCCTCCCAGGGTGGTGGCTGTAGCGGACGTGTTTGTGGCCACCGCGATATAACTGTGCGTTTCCCTCCCGCAACACCCCTACACATGCTACGACTGGACTATGGTTGTATGTACCATATAACGGTATTCCAGGGCATTTAATATGCTGTGCTGCTAAACTCATTACTGTGCATTAAATAAAGTCCAGTGTTGGCAACCTTTGTTTGGCTACTGTAACCCCCCCCACCTTGTTGAATTCTGTTTCCACCGAGCACCCTCCTTGCCTGGCCCAACGCCGTTCTGAGAAACACGTCTATGAAGAATTAATATCAATATCTTAACCGATTGTCCATTTGTGTGAGGTATCCAAACTAGCTCGTAACTGCAAGCGAATTAAAACAAATTCAACGGACGCTCTTCGCGCGTGATGTAACGCGTTTGCGCTCCCTGGTTACTCTTGGAAAGCACATCCTTCATAAATGACGTCACGCGATTTTGGACGATTTTTGACCCTCCCCCCCCCCCTCGTCACACGGCGTCACAAAAAGCCAGACCCCCCCCCCCCCTTAAATATGACGTCACAAAGCTCTGCCCCCTCCCCCCGTAAAACCATATTTCCATTTTGAAAATTAAACATCCTTCAAATCGCTTTAAACTATTATTGTAGTACGTATTTAATGTGGCGCTGCACTCTGATGTTGTAGGAGAAAACATAAAAAAGTCTATTTAAGTAGAACATGTCTTTATTTATTTAAAGTTGCGTATTTTTATGTGACGTCACATTTCTCAAACCCCTCCCCCCCCCCTAGTCAGACATCGTCACAAATGTCTGACCCCCCCCCTCCTCGGTGCGTGACGTCATTTATGGACGGCCCCAAAGTAACAAACAATATCATACATTCACGAACACACACGCACACACGAATGCACGCAAAATCACTAACATTTACTTTTAAAAAAAACCTTCAATTACACGTGCAATGTACACATTAAACTGGCTCAAGTGTACAGAACAATGTTCGTCACGGTGGCCACGTTGCACAGCGACTTGATGCGCTACTCTTTGGTTCTATTCGGTAAAGTCACGTAGGTACAAAAAATAAAACAACAGAAATCACGACGTTTCGGCCACAACACGAGCGGCCTCCATCAGGTGTTGTGGCCGAAACGTCGTGATTTTTGTTGTTTTATTTTATTTTTTTACCTACGTGACTTTACCGAATAGAACCAAAGAGTAAATGGATCCTTGCGGTCACGAAAGCTTCAAATCTCGAACTTTGATGCGGTACCTGGCAGCTGATTGGCCTGTTGTCGTCGGAGTGAAGACGTCATCCATGGCGACTATTGTTACGCGTAGATGTTTGCGATATGGCGAGGTCACGCACACATACTCTGGATGTTTTCGGTGTCCCAGCATATCACTGCCTGGTAGGATTTACGTCGGTTTTTTTTTCTGTACTCAGTGCCCTCAAATTTTGAGGGTCTGGGATGTGTGAAATGCAATTCTGTAGGAATGTGATAAATCCCACAGCTAATTGTGTACTTAGAGGCCGTCCGTAAATGACGTCACGCGATTTTTGACGATTTTTTACCCCCCCCCCCCTCGTCACACGGCGTCACAAAGTCAGAGCCCCCCCTCAAATATGACGTCACAAAGCTCTGCCCCCCCCCCAAAAAAAATGCTTCAAATCGCTTTAAACTATTGTCATTGTAGTGCATATTTAATCTGGAGCTGCACTCTGATGTTGTAGGAGAAAATATTTATAAAAAAAGTCTAATTAAGTAGAACGTGTTATCTATATTTATTTAAAGTTGCGCATTTTGATGTGACGTCACATTTCTCAAACCTCCCCCCCATCGTCACACAAATGTCTGACCCCCCACCCCCCTAGATGTGTGACGTCATTAATGGGCGGCCCTTTATGTACACACACAAACATCACCTGACAACTTGTATTATTGCTGGCTATGTGCCAACATTCAATTCGTTTTATATTGATTAGTAGTTCTTATAGACAAATCTAAAACTGGAATAAACAAATATTATTGGTTCTTTCGGTAAAGTCACGTAGAAGGGAAACAATAAAATAATAAATATATACATAAAACAATACAATTATCACGACGTTTCGACTGCAACACAAGCAATCATCATCAGGTGTGAAAACCACAGCAAGAAAATTATTAAAAAGTGGCGGTTTTTTTAACGTTAGCACCACGGAGAGCGATTTGGCATTTATTCAGATGGACGAGTCCATATATGTTCGGAAAAGAGGAGGGGGGAGACGAAAATTATGGATGCGGTCTGAAAGCCACCGTAAGCGTGAAAAATCAATTAAGACCCGGAATGGTTTATAAAATCCTTCTAATAATTTCTAAGCCAGAATCCATCTTTTAATTGATTGATTGTTCATGCTTACGGTGGCTTTCAGACCGCATCCATTATTTTCGTCTCCCCCCTCCTCTTTCCCGAACATAGATGGACTCGTCCATCTGAATAACTGCCAAATCGCTCTCCGGGGTGCTAACGTTAAAAAAACTGCCACTTTTTTCTAATTTTCTTGCTGTGGTTTTCCCACCTGATGATGATTGCTTGTGTTGCAGTCGAAACGTCGTGATAATTTTATTGGTTTATATATATGTATTATTATTTTATTGTTTCCCTTCTACGTGACTTCACCGAAAGAACCAAGAATATGAATCCCTGCAGTCACGAAAGCTTTAAATCTAAATGGAATAAACAATGTAAAAATTAATTAGTGTTTTGCATCAGGCATGGGTGGTAGTAAAACAATTAAGGGAAAGAACTGTAAATACAAAGAGAGCCAGCCCCACATAAAACTCAATCCGGCCCAGCAACGAGACCACTTTGCAAATATAACTCTGTGAAACAGAGCTATGAAACAATAAAAAAAAGTTTATTTAACAACCGATTCACGAAGTCTTGGGTTTTCTGTTCAAGTCAACAAAACAGCACATACGAGTGGGATTACAATCGGAACCCTCAGCACTGCGCCAGCACAACCTACTAAAACTACATTTCCCCGCAAAAATAATGCCATTAACAGCTATGACAAAGAGCACATTTACGCAAAACGAAACTCTTTCTAGCCATAAGCACAAATAACGCTAAAGATCTACTAATAATTCTCACTCTACGTGACTTTACCGAAAGAACCAAGAAGATGAATCCTTGCAGTCACGAAAGCTTTAAATAATACTGTCTTAAAAGGAAAAAAACTATATAACAGGTGACATTTCGAGAATTGGTCCTTCTCAGTCAAGATGGAACGTTGGGCCAACGCTGGTCCAACGATTCCACCAAGAAAATGCCATCGTTGGTCGAATATTGCATGTTTAATGGCCCTTCATCGCGTGATATGAAGAAACGTTGCTCATTATACACTTTCCATTTAAGGCAGTATTATTGACGAATATGTTAAACCTTATTAACTGCTCACTAAATCACAACCAGTCCCTGCTATAACCAGATTAGGCAAATACACACTATACATTTATCGCACTTTGTATATAAATCCACCATAAGCAATTGACAATATTTATGTCAGGCTTTCCATATATATTTAACTATGAAACAATAGATGAACTAATCATAGTTGACAATATAATAAGATATTATTTGCTATTTCCATGAAAACACCAGCTCAGAAAGTGCCCTACACAGTCTATAGAACTCTTACTTCACACTTGCTGGGGATAGGCTCACTGATGTGGACTATGCTCAAGATATTTAGCTCCGATGGATAATCCCGGCCGAAAGTCTCGTATGTTGATAGCAATTGACGACAAATAAATATTCTGATATGTTCCATGGACCGTTCTGGGTCGCACATCGTTTCACGTAACTGCATCTGCCATGGGTTTGTACGGATGCGTTTTAGGGTTGCGTTATTGAAGCCCAGTGCGCGTGGCTTTGTACTACCGTAGGTGGCTAATGAGGGACGATGTTGAGATCCCGGCGGAATGGGGAAACGCACGTTTTACACAATTCGCTGCACTTCCCAGAGGGCTGGAGCATTGCCGCGACTCCTTTTTGCCACACTTTCATATTAATGTCAACAATGATTGTAATCACTCGAGAAACGATTATAGCTGCTCATGATGATGGTCCTATCTGTTTACGGAAATAATGCTCTCTGTGAAGAGATTCTGCCCATTTAACAACCGCTGCAACGAATATCTAGTCTATATTATATTTATAGAGCGCCTTCACTCAAGACGCTTGACAAAACGGTGACATAATGGAATGATTTAGATGGCAGGAGCGTAAAAAGATTGAGGAATGAGTGACAGCGATAGAGGGGCACTTAAGGATCACGAAAGGGTAGGGAATGGACGGGAAGGCGTGGAGGGGCGAGTGGAGGGAAAAGTAAGAAAATGGGCAAGAGGGAACAGCGGAATGGAAGGAGGTTAAGGAGGGGGACTGGTTAATGCTCAAGGGAAATGTCTTCCAGTGGAGTGGGCAATGATGGAGAAGGACCGAACACGGGATTGGGCACAGGGAAAAGGAGGGACAGATGAGAGGCAGAGAAAATTGGTGAATGAAGAGTACGAGTGGAGGGGACATGGAAGGAGATGAGTGGAAAGATGAGGTCGGGCAAGGCCATGTGGAGGGGACATGGAAGGAGATGAGTGGAAAGATGAGGTCGGGCAAGGCCATGGAGATATTTAAAGACTACCGTCAGGTATTTAAAAAGAGGGCGGTGTTGTAAACGGGAAGCCAGTGGAGTTGAAGGAGAAGCGAAATGCGAGAAATAAAAGCGAGATTGACATGAATAAATTGTAACACGAACCGCAGCAAACTTAGCCATCGAATATAAACACATTTCACAAAGCGAATCACCACGATCCCGACTTTAACATTGGACTATGACCACCTATTTTCACAATAAAACAAATAATTTGGTGATGCTGTTGTAATGGCAGTGATTCAGAAGCACAAATTAAAAAAAGTTAGTCAATAGCTGCTTTAAAAGGAAACATAATAGGGGACGGTTCGGGCAATGGCCCTTCTTAATGGTGCAATCACTTATCTGCTAGGAAAGGCAGTGTTCTATTTAACCTCACATTCGTAACATCAGACGAGGCAGCTCCCTCCTCCCACCCCACCCCTTGATGCAACGTGGGTGGAGGAGCCAAACTCCAATCCCTACCAGTCCCGTCTAGTACATTGAGTCAGGTAAACGATCATACGTGCAATTAATCGCACATCACTCCACACCTGCATTCGCTTGCACCAGGGCCTATGTAAGTGACACTACGCCCAAGATTCTCCCGTATAGCCTTAGCAGACCATTGGGACAAGTGCTGTTAGCGAGTAGCACCTACGAAGGCCGGCACGGCACACGAGGGGGTCGGTGGCCAGCACCACGCCGGCCGCCTTTGTCTCTCCAGCGCTGATGTTTACACACCCCACCGGGTACTCATTTGAGGCTGAGTCGACCTAGGGAAGGCCCAGGACCAGTCTAGAAAATCATTACTGGTGTTGGCCATGAGCGCGAATCAAACTCGGGTCGCCGAGTTTGCAAACCTGTCAACCCCTTATCAGTGCCTATCTTAGGCCAATTCAGACCTTACTGGTCACCCCGTGATATTATAAAGCTCAACGTTGACATGCCAACGTTGGGCATGTGGTCGGAACTTGGACCAACGTTCTATGTTTACTGGGTCTGTGTGTGCTGTGTGGGCTCTATGTCTGTATGCTGTGTGTGTGTGCAGTGTGTGCATGCGCACACTCAGGCAGTAGTTGCGGCTGTGTGCATTGTGTCACTTGCATTGTCTTATGAGTGCCTATTTGCTCTATGTTGCGGAGGCCATATGTTTGCTGTGTATACATGTACGCTATGCCTATGTAATAATGCTATTTTTACACCAAGTTGTCTTTATCTCGGGATCACCTTCTGAAGATGTTTGTGAATTATGATGATGGCGATTATTTTACTGTTTAATCTCCCACACAGATGGCCCCACAATTAAGTTAGCCATTTATCTTTTTCATCCACTTAATGGAAAAGCTTTCCCTCAACAAAAGTCTATTTACTGGACAAACACATTTTGTGGAAAATAAAAACATTTCCCAAGACACCATTCATTTATAACCCACATTTCGTGGTAATCCCAGCCACCTGTGTTAATATTCCATTTATACTGGTAGGAAACGTAGTGGACTGGAAGCCCAACCGGGATTAATTCACAGGAGGCAGGGGATTAATTGTGTATGTCTGTGGATGTCTGTCCACGTGGGAGGGGTGGGGCTGGGTGGAGAGGGGAGGGTAGGGAGGGGCTGGGTGGGTGGGGAGGGGCTGGGTGGGGAGAGGAGGGTGGGGAGAGGAGGGTGGGGCTGGGTGGGGTGGGGCTGGGTGGGGAGGGGCTGGTCACCCCGTGGTGTCCTTATATGGACTGGAAGCCCAACCGGGATTAATTCACAGGAGGCAGGGGATTAATTGTGTATGTCTGTGGATGTCTGTCCACCTACTCACGCCGGCTTGTGCCCGCCCTCACAGTCGGGCATATTTGCGGAATACACCACGTGGTGGTGCCGCCGTTGACCCTGGCCATTGACCGAGCAACCCAACGTTCCTACCAGCTCCCTCCGCAGGAATGTGTTATATTCATGGATAACCGGCGCCAGTTTAATTTAAACTCTCGATAGCCCACTTAAGATATTTAAATTCTCAGCTGATGTTACCACACCCACTTATTGACATCAACACTGGGCAGTCAATAACCACGAAGAGGATGTCGTAACTAGTGCGACGACTTTGGCTGACCGTTTCACAAGCGTTAATTGTCGTGATCGAGTGTCTCAGGGTGTCAAAACACTGAGCCAGCACTGCCGTGGTCGTGGGTTCGAATCTTGAGTTTTAGCTGCCCGTAATTACACAGAGTTCTGCAGCGTAAAGAGAAAGATACACATTTTTTAAGAATAAGTCGCTGTGCATCTTATAGTCTTGACACCAAGCACAACTTTGGGGTTACGTCTTACTTTCCGGAGGGTCTTATCATCTTGGGAATATGTTAGTATCGGAAAGTCAATGCGATGCACAAGTCACAGTGGCCACTCTGGGAGTGCTCCCTGCTACGCGACGATCGTGATCGAACCTTGGCCAACCATGAACGCGGCGTGCACGCTGCCTGCAGAGTGGCCGATGCGGAACATGTACAGCACACTCTCGGTACTACCGTCGTAAAAATATAACAAGCCCTGGTCCACGTCCACGAGCACCCCGATCTTGTCCTTCTCCAGCTGCGAAATGTTCAGCGGGGTCTCAATGCCATCGTGCGCCACGAAATAACCATTGGGCCTCCGGCACAAGCACCACGATGCTCTGTTCAGGCCCAGCCAGGTCTCACATTGCGAGCCCCTTCGCGATATGACGGCGTACGCGATGCCCACGCGGAAAATCTGCGCCTGCTTCACGCACACCTCCCAGTAGTGGCGGCCCGATGAGAAGTTCTCGGAGCACAGCGCCACCTTCCACTCGGCGAAGCGTTCGCTGTGATCAGGGTAGCCCTGGTGCAGCTCGGTGGCCGTCAACGTCCTCCCGTCCGCGTTGCAGTCTAGCCACGGGTTCACCGAGTCGCGGTTGATGGTCGGCGAGCAGAAGTCTGAAGAGAGAAAAAAAAACATTTCAATTGAGCGAAAATCCTGCCTGTTCCTTAAAGGGTCACAGCGTCTAAGATGGGGCTGAGCCACAATAGGAGCATTCACTACATCTGTTTGAAGAAGGTGCAGATGAAGGATATTGGCCAAACGTGTTTTCGGGTCATTGCCTGGAATTACGTTTAATGCACGCTATTTGGCCTGTGGCCGCATCTGCGGCACTCATGGTTTGCTGGCTGGTGCATGTGTAGTGTCAACGATTCGGAGACAGAGTTTATAGGAGGCACCTTTTTTTTATTAAATGCAACTTCCACGGTCTCGTCCGCACACTCTCCACAATAGCTTAGCCTAGTCTGTACACAACACTAGCCGTTTGACACTGACGGCGCTGACTGAGATACCCAACTACTATCTTTCATAGCGCAATATCTAGCGGAGACGGCAGCGATGACGGTGACGAGACAACAGCAACGACGAGACAAGTCCACTCTCAGAACCGGCAGCCTCGAGCTCGTGCTCTTGGCTCCTTTTATGCTACTGCGCCTCCCTTCCTGAACCCACTAGCAGGTTCCAAGGGCCTCCAGATGGGGTCCTCCATGACCCTTGCCCCAGTTCCTCCGCTCTGCCAGCACACCCTCACCGGCGTGTGCACTGTCTGTCCACCAAAGTTGCCACTGCTGTCCATCAGCCGGCGCTATTACACGACACATTTAATTTATTTTACGCGTTCATGACCTCAAATCAACAACCTCTGTAGGCCCTATCCCGCCTTAGGAACCTTCCCTTCCTGTTTAGGCTCTGCCTCTTTCCTCTTTATGCCCTGCACCATAACTCTTTATACCCCACCTGATCTAATTAAACCTTGGTCTACTCTTTCTCTTTCAGCTCCATGCCTTTCCTTTCAGGGCCCACCCCTTCTTATGTAGGCCTTCCTCTTTGTGGTTACTCCTGTTGACGTATTGATTGTAATGTACATTACATACTACACCACGAAGTTTACGTGCATTTACGGTCACTAATCCATGGTGACTTACAAAGGGAGGTAATGAACGGTGAAACCACCCCATAGACTGACAATGGCATGTAGAGGCCTTCATGCAGTATTGGAGTAACAAAGAGTTGTACCTATCACTTTATTACAATACCACGTCACACGGTGACTGATGCATAGGCGGATATGTGAACATCTCTATGAAAATCACAGTTACACCGGGGACTCGAGCCCATCGCTTACAGAGTGGCGGCCACGTGCGCAGCTGCGGGTACTGGTCTTTGACGTCATTGAGCACCTCCAAAAGCTCGTGCACCAGACCCGTGTCGATGATGAAGTCCAGCACGTAGCCAGCCCTCTCGCCGCCATTCTGGATGTCATTCGCCGAGTGGTAGAAGTCGCGTGAGATAATCTCCTTGCTGTCGAGCGCATCCAGCAGGAAGCTCATGTTCGACGACAGCCAGCGTTTCAGCAGCGGCTTCTGTCTGCGGATCACAGCTTGGGTGGCCATCACCCGTCGGGAGGGACCTGTGTATAAACAGGGATACAGGTGAGGGTGCAGCCATGAAATTACTTGGTTACGCCACTGCATTACCCATAGGGCAGTGCGGACAAATGCCTGGTGGGCCGGTCCATCCTAAGAGCTTGTGGGCCGGTCTGTGTGAGGAAATTGCAAATGTGATCAGAGTAAAAATACATTTTAACTCTAATGCGTATGCTTCATTACTTATTTACGCTCTCAGTTTCAATGAAGTTCCCATATTCGGCATCCCCAGAGATCCTTCCTCACCGGCCCGTTTGTTTTTTTTGGACCCAGCCCCAAATAGGTCCAATGGGATCGCATGGCAAAATTATGCGAACACGTCGTCACATCGCAAAACCTAGCTACTCTATCGGCCGAATTTTGGGCGGTGTGTTTACAAATGCTTGGGCTGATTTTTTAGTCCCAGTCGGCCACTGCAAACAGCTCAGTGGGGCTTGCCTTGTAAAATAAAGTGTTTTTTTTGACCCACCGATAGAGTTCGCAGAGACATTAAGACAACGGCCAATCAGTAACTACGAAGGCCATCAATTTAAAATGTGCATCATTGCAGGCAGGTCACGTGTGGTGGGGTAAAGCGTGGGTAACTCCCAGCCCTTCCAAGACATTTGGTAAGCGTGGAAGAGTAAATCAAGATCAGGGGCGGAGCCAGGATTTCAGGCCGGGGTGACATTCAACACATTTTTATTTCAAGAATTATTTAGAGAGTCAGGCTGTTGAACTAGACGCCATCGGTTGGCGACACGCTCTGACAATGCAGTTGCACGGAGTCCGCCAGACCGAGTGTCGTACACTTCTACGCAGAATGTCACCCCCTCTGTCACCCCACCCTGGCTCCGCCCCTTGATCAAGATACCCTCTTCGAGGCAGATGTAAGTTGGTATTTTTTGTTAGATACAACGTGGTATTTGATGATGATCTATCAACATTTTTTTAAAGATCATTTGTATATTCTTTCGGTCTTTTGCTAAAGTGACGTAGATAGGTTCAGATTAATACCAATAAAAGAAACCAAAAATATTAATTTGAACCTATCTAGGTGAAATTTTCTTGCTGTGGTTTTCACACCTGATGATGATTGCTTGTGTTGCAATCGAAACGTCGTGAGAATTTTATTGTTTCATTTTTTATTATTTCCCTTCTACGTGACTTTACCATAAGACCCAAAGAATATGAATTCCTGCAGTCACGAAATATTCAAGTCAAGTCAAGAGATAATTTGTATATTGCGATTACGATTTTCTCGCAATTTTTTTTTATTTCTCTTATCTCTTATTGCTTATTATTGATTTATTTTACTGCGACTTGTTGCGTCTGTCAGAGAAGCGGCGGTGTTGTCCCTGTTGATGAAACCCGATTTACAAGCTTCTTGGCTCACAGGTTATTTCAAAATAAACTGAACTGAACTCTAGGTATAGAGGCGCTTTTACCAGCAGTGGCAATAATTCATTCCAGTGCTGCATCTTTACCGCTTACCGTTACCTCTGCGCCTACGACTGAATGTAAAAACTCCATCTACACGTATGAGGAACCGAACGTGCAACGTGCGCGCAGGCCGGCGGTAACAAGTTTACTCGCCTCGTTTGGTAATGGCAAGTGGCTTCGGGGGAAACAGGTTTGGTTGGTGACAGCTCATATCACGCTGAAATCTGACCCTTTGGAAAGTGCTGTTTATTTTAATTTTTTTGTCAATTTACATTGGACTCGTTTTCCGAGTTATGTCGCAATGTCCGTGATCATGAATTCACTATCATTTTCTAATTCACGCACTGTTACTGCAATGTATCCCCACCCCCCCCCCCCACCACCAATTAAATTGCTATTACATCATAGGTGTTAACCCCAAAGAGGTTTAAAACAGTGAGACTCCTACTAAAAAAGTATTGGGGGAAACCCAAAAAGCCGAGAGAGTAATCCCAAACAACTGGGCACAGAGAGATGTTAACTGTTACGCAGGAACCGAGGGCGAGACAACTTGTGGAGCAGAGTAAAAAGTGGGAATTTTCGTAGAAGGCACGTGGCTAATGTTCTGCACCCGCTTAGGAAAAAAAAAGTGTTCTATTTGTGTGTGTTGATTATGAGCTCTGCTATTGTGGAGCTATTGCGCTCAGTGGCCCTTGTTAAATCAAGCATTAGACCGCTTTCAATAATTTAGCCGTCTGATTTTATTTACGTTTATTTTGCAGTTTTATTTACGTGTCCTTTTTATTCATTTGTATTTAATGAGTGTTTTTATTTAATGAGTGTTTTTATTTAATGAGTGTTTTTATTTAATGAGTCTTTTTATTTAATGAGTGTTTGTATTTAATGAGTGTTTTTATTTAATGAGTGTTTTTATTTAATGAGTGTTTTTATTTAATGAGTGTTTTTATTTAATGAGTGTTTTTTTATTTAATGAGTGTTTTTATTTAATGAGTGTTTGTATTTAATGAGTGTTTGTATTTAATGAGTGTTTGTATTTAATGAGTGTTTGTATTTAATGAGTGTTTTTATTTAATGAGTGTTTTTATTTAATGAGTGTTTTTATTTAATGAGTGTTTTTATTTAATGAGTGTTTTATTTAATGAGTGTTTTTTATTTAATGAGTGTTTTTACATTTGTTTTTGCTCGTGTTTTGTTTTACCTTAATTTGTGTAAAGGGGCCTTGTACCTTGTTGTATAAAAGGCACTTTATAAATACAGATTATTATTCATACAAAACCTTGGATATTTGTTATTACTTCCCTGCTGTTATTTTAAAAATTATAGTCTGTGTATAAAGATAAAGGCGCTTACGTATTACACAGGAACGGTCAACAGCTGCTCCAGTGCATTGCAATGAATAGGACACGATATATTATTTACACCTGGTAAACACCAACGAAACGTGAGAATCCATTGCACGGTCGTGAGACAATCGACATTGTGAAAAACCGTGAATCTCAAGTGACAAACCTTGAGGCTTGACGTGCATGCAGTTGTGCTCAAGACAAATCCCAGAATCCGCCCAGGGAATTCCACAAAGGAGTGTTGATAGAGAGTGGCCGGCGGAATGGGACATCACAGAATTTATTCTGAGATCCTGTCAAGTAACCCTTTGTTACCCAACACGCTGCTACATTTTAATGAAGGCTGTATGTCATTTGGCGGCAGAGATGGCTACAGAAGGATGTGGAGCTGAGTGGACTTGCCGATGACTGGTACCAGCAGTGTCAATATCGGCCTCTGTGGAGGAGGTTCGTGAAGGACGCTGCTGGGGAGTTGGGAGGCAGTCGCACTCCAGCAACAACGGAGGGCAGATGAGCGACGCTCACAACAAGCGGAGCGCCGGGTGGCTAAAATGCAGAGAGTTGCCACAGTGGGGGAGCACAGTTGGTGCATCTGACAATCATCTCAGTCAACCCATGGCACCTGGGTCTGTTTCATGACCTCCTGCAAGTGGGCCTGCGACACTGCACGTGGCATCAAAGTGAACGGAGCATAGTGAGGTCACCGCCACTTCGTGGTTGATGTTGTCGGTGGTAGCCTAGTGGTTAGCACACTGCACTCTGAATGCAGTGACTCGAGTTTGATTCACGGCCTTGACTGACATCAGTGACGCAGTGCGCAGCCCCTGCACTGACTGACCGGCGTGGTGAGGCATTGTCAAGCAACCCCCATTACCGACAGTGAATATAGCGGTCAAGAATAATGATGGGCGGTCAAGAGGAGTGAATGTGCCCCCTAGACGAGAGATACCACCACCGTAGAGATGGAGCGATGAAAGTAGCTCTTGTGCAGCATCTAAGTGGATTATTATACAACGCAGGACCGACACGACATGGGGAATCATTTATCCAGCAGTAGCTGATAACAGAAACGTAAAAACATACCTTCACCATGGTTTAAAACACTCTAATTGTATAAGAATAAAACCGTAAGTCTCTCATTTGACAATTTTGTGTGGAAAGTGATGAGGGTAGCCCGGCACTCACAAATCCAATATAAATCCCATGCGCTTGAGGTGGAACAAAGATGCTTGTTATGTTAACTACCGTCCTCCAACGGTCTTTGAGATAACTATATTTACTTAGTTTGATTTCAGAGACGTCATTGTCCTGTGGCCCAGATAATTCTGCAAACAGGGTCCATAAAATTTTTATTTTTACAGCAAGGTGTGAACTTCAAGGAAACACGGAGCGGTGGAGGGCACGCTTAAAAAAATAGACTGAAATAGGAACCAAACACATATCGATTGGGGAACGTTATTCACGTCGGTTTAGGCGGGGGACCACATCAGATTGAAACATGCCAACGTTGGCATGTTTCAATCTGATGTGCCAACGTTGGCATGTTTTTTTCTTTTTAACGAACCCGAGACGGCCGTCTACCGCAATAGATATGAAGCGATCGCATCAGCTCGTGGGCATGTGCGACAGTTAGATACTTGTCAAAAATAAGAATGCGTTTTACCCTTTATGGCAATACGTCAAGTTTTAAGATGGTCTGCCAATACGTCATGAGAAAAGGCGAAAACCTATTCTCAAATGTTGATACTAGCAAGAGAGGTACCATGATGATGTTCAAGACAATGCATATATCATTATCAGAGCGTGCTTATTTTTGCATGTTCACCAAAAGTACGCGTGGCTAATGCAGACTTGATTCCTTTGAAAAGGTATCAATTTGGTGTTTGAACATTTGTTGCATTGCCAGAAAGGTTAAAACCTATTCTTATTTTTCATACTTTGATACTGGCAAATAGTTTCCATGTTCATCGATTATATTATCGTTCCATTGCAGCTAGTACCGTGAGAGGTAATGACGACTTTGGGGAGAACTTCATCCAGCCGTGGATTGACCGTGGCCGTTGACGCCACCAGACGAATGCATTTCCTCATTTTGGGAGTTTCAGTTTAATTATTGTGACCCAACTGGTCTATCTGGGAGTGTGTGCGCGTGTGAATAATAATTCAGCTATGGTGGAGGCCCTTTCCCTTCGTAAGCCACTGGAGCGACGCACTTTTAAAATCTAGACCGAAAACTCATTTCTTTATAGCTGTTTTTGTGTGTTCAGTTTGTCGTCTTTATACCCCTCACCACCGATTAGCACGCTTGGCTACGTACGGTGCAAAATAAGTTGCTAATACTGTACATACATGTAGACTCCACGTCTCTGGTCCATCTACTAACGTGGCATGAAGGGTCGTTGCTCGAAACGTCGACCAATCATATATTATTTTCCTTTCATGGCCACGGTGTTATGGACGAAATTTGTTCACTTGTTTTGTTTGTGTATCCAGCACGTGAGTTGTATACTTATGACAGCTAACACGCTGTGTCTGTAACGTACACGCGGTACATTAGTTGCATGCTTCCCATGACCAGCGTGGTGAAGTATGGTCAAAAAAACCAAACCCAACGACCCACGGCAGCTTGCATGCGGCAAGTGGACTTGACACAGGGCTGGTGGACATCCTTGATCATCGTGGATCTCGCCTACATATCGCTCTTTCTAACGCTTGAAGAAACGACGTAACCCATGAATAAGCCTCTTGTCGTGCTTTAAAGGGACTTAAAGTGCGTGTAAACTAACGGTAATGAACCACGAGACCCATGATCCCCCCCCACCACCCCCGTGGGTGGTGGATAAAGCGGCATCGCTACACGGGGAGCAGCAAGCTGAGGAGGAGGATGAGGATGATGAGGATGATT